CCGGTTCCTTCGTCTTAATTGTTCAAGGTGTTTGTTTTTCACATTGGACTTTCATTAAAATTGGTGCATTAGACTTTACTTTTCAAGGATGCTGTGATCTTTCAACATCTCCCACTTAGTGCTTACCACACAGTGCACTCTTCTTGGGGACAGCATGCTGGGGTGAGGATGCTCGTTCAGCAGATAACAAAGGCGGGGAAAGGTTATTTATAAAGCAGGCTCTGTATGGGGTGTACACTGCCCCACAGGTCACACAGGAACAGCAGCTCGATAAGCTCAGATCCATCCGGACACGTCCCTACACACTCTGCGAGCTCTGGAGGTGGTCAACAGCAGCTTCTTCAGTCGGAGGCTCATCGCACCAGGGTTTAAGTATGAGCACTTCAGAAAGAACTTTTTGTATTGTCTATGCACAATTTTACCAATGTATTAGTGTGTGGCAACAGCCTAATGTCCCTTAATGGGCGGCACGGTGGCAGAGTGGATAGCACTCTGGCCTCTCAGCAAGAAGGTCCTGGGTTCGAATCCCGGTCGGACCAGGGCCTTTCTGAGTGGAGTTTGCATGTTCTCCCCGTGTCTGCGTAGGTTTCCTCCGGGTGCTCCGGTTTCCCCTACCACTAAAAACATGTCCAATAGTTCTGGCATGCGCCTCCTGTACTGGTGACCCCACTCCCATCTCTGTGTGGAGTGAGAGACAAATGCCCAAAATAAACAATTGTAAACCGCTTTGAGACTCAGATCTGCAGTGAAAAGGCGGTATATAAATAAAGATTACTTACTTACTACTTACTACTAATGGCTCAGTAATGGTTCTATCTATTTATTATCTCTAGAAAACTAGCCTACTATAGTCTACATAAGTTCAGCATTAATCTCTCTTGGTTTTCCCCACAAAGTGCCCATGACTGTTTCATGTACGTTTATATAAATTGGTTTCATGTATGTATATATCCATCCATCCATCCATTTTCTACCCTTTAATCCATTTCTGGGTCAGGGGGGGTGGCAGTCACAGATGCCACCCAAGTCTCATAGCACCAGCCATGTATATATACATTACATATACATTTCTCCTTTGTGAGATCAAAAAAGTATATCTTATCTTATCTTATCTTATATATTGATGTATTTTTATGTGTTTTTATTGTGCTGGTTTTTGGGTTTTTTCTCACTGTCTGTACAGCACTTTGGTAAACCTATAGCTGTTTTAAATGTGCCCTACAAATAGAGATTTGATTGATTGATTGATGAAAAGAAGGCGTCTGAAGCCTGAGAGAGAGCAATACCACCCAGGACATGCAGTCTGTTGTGTAACCTGGATGAGGAATCACAAGAAAACCACACGTTGTGAATTTGGATTGGTTTCGTTATAAAACTCTTGTCTTTCTTGATTCGTATCATCATAATGCAATAATGCATGTTACGTCGGTATTTTAGTCTATTTAAAGCCAACTTGATTATTTTACCTAATCGGTTTGGATATATTTGATTCTTTGGAAATTTCCCAATAAATGATTACCAAACTCTCACCTTTTATTAGATACGTGTGTGCAAAGGGATGACCAAGACAGCTCTGATTTGAATCATGAGCCCTGAGTTATAACACTAATTTTTCTATTTTTATAACACATTTAACACGTCTATAATTTTGTTATATCATACTCATACATGTTTTTGGGAAATATTTGTTAGATGGTTGACATTTAAAGAACACATAGCTGTGTAGCTGTAGCATAATGTTTGTCAGGTAAATGCCAAAAAGCAGTGGAAGAATGTTGTAGAAGTTTGACCGGAACCAGAACTAGTCTATTATAATTTATTTCCGTATAAAACTCTTTTTCTTATTTTAAACTACATTTGAGAGCCCCACTGCGTTTAAGTAAGTAAGTATTTATATAGTGCTTTACAATTGTGGGCATTTGTTCTCTCACTTCACACAGAGATGGGAGCGGGGTCGCCATACAGGACCTATTGTACATGTTTTTAGTGGTAGGGGAAACCGGAGCACCTGGAGGAAACCGGAGCAGACACGCCCCTGTTCTGACCGGGATCTGAACCCTGGACCTTCTTACTGAGAAGCGAGAGAGCAAACCACTGAGCCACCGTGCCGCCCGTTTCTCACCTTCAAACATGCAGCTGCTGAACCATGAGACAGACAAGTGCACCAGAATAACTCTCCACCTTTTATACTTCATCAGAAAAACAGAAGTGCATCATGTGACCCGGACATGACATCTTCACCAGTGATCTGTACATCACGCCCTGAGAGATGTGTTTGTGGTGTACCAGGCGAGGAGTTGTCTGCGACCACAACTTCCCTTATCTGCAGCAGCACACAGGCCACAGCCCCTGAGTAATGTATGGGTGGCACAGCTTCTGTCTTCATGTCATGAGAGATTGAGGGATTAGAACAAGAAATAGTATATTTACACAATCTGCAGATGCTCCATCTTCTAATCTTGAAAAAAAACTTTGACTTTCATCTAATGTGGCTCTTGGTTCTATAGTTTTCAGAAGTGTGCATATTGTCCTCTTATTCACCTTTCTGTTTAAAAATGTGACAGAAATCTTGATGAGTGCTGCAATGAGACATTTGCGACTGGGAAAGTTAAGGTGTCTGGTGAAGGGAAAATTGGAAATATTTCATGACTATATTTCAGGAAATATTTTAACTCGAATGTGTAACTTTTTGGCTGAGATGGAAAGAGTTCAAATACCGTATTTTTTTTTTTTTAAATCACAATAAATGGTCATTCATTCTTAAATGTTTCACATGTATATACTGAACTGTTACATGACTGTTTTATTTGAAAAAACTCAAATCAGGAAACTACAAAAAAAAAAAATGACAAAGATAACCAGCTCTCAACCCAAAGTGTCAGCACAAGATTCAAATGCATATTTTAACTAATTCTAAAAAGAGGAGAAGTATATGTGAACTTATGTGTTCAAAATATTTTATTATCTCTGTATGGACTAACATAATATACTATAGAACAGGGGTGGCCAACCCGCGGCTCGTGAGCCGCATGCGGCTCTTTGGCTGGTTCCGTGCGGCTCTTGGGCTTTCACATGACAAGCGTCAAAAACGCCTCGGTGGTGGCGCTGCCTTTCATTCCATATGTAGTTCTGACCAATAGTAAAGGCCGACTTCACTCCACTAGCCAGGCCACCAAAACAATCTGACGTCGGCGAACGTCAATTCTGGTTGGTCAGATGCGCTGTCAATCACTCTGCAGCTGCTACCTCAGCTGTAGCAAATATCATAACAAACAACACGTTGCCTCGAACCATGACGTCCGTACGGAAAACAATTCCTTGGTCGCTGGATGAGGGCAACACCTTCCTCAGTTTGAGGAGAGGACACCAGCCTGATCTCGCTGGTTCCACCAGAAACCAGAAGGTGTTTGTGGAGCTAGCACTAAGGACGGAGCAGAATGATTCCCACAAACATGACAATGCAGAGAAAAGTTAAAAAGCTTAAAAGTGACAACCGTGAAATGAAAGATCGCAGCAGCAGAAGTAGAGGCAGACCCGAAAAGTCTGGAGGTGGTTTGACCAAATGGATTACATTTACGGACATCGGCTAACACCGGCTAACATGCTAAAAGCAGCTAACAACAGCTAGCATTACACCAGGAGATAAGCCAACTCTGCCTGGTGAGTGTCTGTCTTCAATCAAATGCGAAACTATCTGGTCTTATACTGAGCATGTGTCTGTGGTTCTAAATCAGCTAAAGTGGTGTTGGTGTTATGTGTCAAATCTATATCTTTTACTAAAGACAGTTGTGTTTCTGCTGAACACTGGGTTGAAACTTGATTTTTTTTTCTTGGTTAGAGATTGAAAGCATTCATTTCGGAATCATAATTGATGTTCGCTGACGTCAGATTGTTCTGGTATCGACTCGCCCGGTTAGAACCAGGGCCAAACCATTAATACAAAGTACCGGGGAGCGGTTGAAGCGAGCGGTGGAAGCGCCCGTAAACCAGGGAGAGTCGAGTCCAGCCCTTTAGTGCTGTACGAGTCAATTTCTGTCATTATCATGTTGATGACATTTACAATAAATCTGTCTGAGCAGAGCACACCTCTCTCTGCTCAGACAGATTGCATGTGTGTGCGCGTGTCTGCTCGTGTGCGTACAGTACGTGCGCGTGTGCGTGCGTGTGTAAGGGTTGGGGTGATGTTTATGTAGTGCACATTTGTATGATGTGGCTCTTTGCTGTAACACAGTAAAAAAAATTGGCTCTTAGTCTCTGACTGGTTGGCCACCCCTGCTATAGAAGAACAGAATAAGAATTTGTACACCAGCTTAGATCTAAGGTTTTGAGCAAATGTTGTCAATAATAAATGTGGCTGAAATCATGATGCTTTTTAAATGGTTGGAGAATGACCCATGGTTTTATCCGTTTCAGGACGATGTATTAAACAATTACCTGGTTGTATGAGAATCTATACAATGGTCTCAGAAATAATGTCATGAGATGCACACAGTGGGGGCGGGTCCCGGCTCAAAAACGACCACATTGACATGTGCTGACATGCTTGCAATACCACCCCGGGCCGATGGCGGTGGACCCGGAATAAGAATTATTCAATTGTAATGAGGGGGGCTATTGGAGATTGTGCAAAAGAATCTATTGTAAACGGGTGTGAGATGACAGGGTGAGAGCACACTGTATTTGCCAAGGGAGGACAGGAGAGTTGCAACTTAAAGACTTTTACATGAAATAAAAGAAAATAAATTGTCCACATTAATACTAAAAGTCCATAAAAACAAGGCAGGCTAAAAATACTTAAGAGCTTCCAAGAAAGTGCGACATGCTGTCCCGGGGAGCCGTTCCTCTCCACACACACCGGGTCACCTGAGAATACAAAGCAAACGCCAGCACGGTGGTCCGAGGCTACAAGGCCTGAGGCTACGATGGTGGAGTGTCGCTACAATACTTACACACAAGAGTTTTGCTCTGCCCCTGCGTGTGGTCCACTTCACAACACTCCTTCACTCAGTCCCGATCCCTCCCGGCTGGCTCTCCTCCTCTGCACGCTGGAACACCTACGCGGAGACAACTATCGGCAGTCAAATGTTTCACAAAGTGATATTCTTAAGCTAACGTCTTCTGACAAGTACTACTACGTGCCCCAAGGGTACACACACGGAAGGCAGAGTCCTCCTCTGCCCCTGCGTGTACATCGCCTCGTAGGACTTGCGGTTCCAGCGTGCGTGTCGTCCCGGTGCCTGTGGCGTCTTCCCCTCGTGACAGTGGCCGCTGCTCTGCTGCTCTCCTCAGCTCTGTCAGTGCTTCCCCTCTCCGACCTCTGTTTGTCCACCACTTTGTGCTCCCGATGTTGGTCCATCTCCAATTCCCTGATGCGGTCCCCGTCAGGCCCAAAGGATATAATCCCCCTCGGGCCCACGGCCGCGATCCCCCTCGTGACCGTGGGCTGTGGCTCTGCTGCTCCCTTCAGCTCAGTCTTTCCTTCTCCCAACCTCCGTTTGTTGTGTTCCTCCTCGGCCTTTTGTTCCTCCCTGCTCGCGCCAGTCACAGGTGTGTAGAATTGTGCAGTGATCGACAGTCGGAGGTGCTCATCCCGAGAAAAAAATCCGTGGTTTATACAAAGCACAATGTGTCTATCCAACTGTCTGTGAAACTGTATGTTATTGCTCTCTGCTGTTTATTCTACTGCCGTAAAGATGGCGCCGTGGCAAGAGCTCTGGTGTGTGTCGTCTTCTCTGTCTGGTGCACACCGGGGTAGTCTTGCACAGTTTTTCCAATGTGGTTTTACTGCAAATGGCAAATAAATGAATCTGAATCTGAATCTGATTGGACAAAGGCACGTGGATGGATCATGTGATAAAAGCAGGTAGTGGCAAGCCTTAAATAAATAAATAAATGCACTGCAAAGATAAAACCAATATAAAAACACTACAAGCACAACACACAATGATAAAACATAAATACATAAAATGCCACTCGTGCTGGGTCACACATTGCTATTGTACGTATCTTCTGACCTCTCAAAAACGTCTTTACAGGATGGTCCAAAAGTTGGCTCTTGGCCCAAAGCCCCGTTCCACGTGTGTGTCAATGCTGAGGGGAGTGTTGCTGTTAAATTTTGAAGGCACTTGTTTAAATGAATGGGACTCGTGCCGGCTGACTTATGCGTAGATGCGTTTTCTTCACATTTTCCAGCCCCCGCAGCCGTTTTGAAACGCTCCATGAAAGCCACATTTTTGGCCCATTTTTTTGAATGGCGGAGATAGGCGTGACTATGTCCGTTAATATTTAGAGTCTGTGGATGCACACAGTGGAGTTTTTATGTTCTCCCTGTGCGTGATTTAACTAGGCAAATTTAAGCAAAATATAGGACCATCTAGGAAGAAAAGCTGCTGGATTCCAATGCTGTATCATTCCTTATATTTTTGATATGTTTTTTAATTCACCTTACTTGGTTTTGGTCGTTCTGTAAAAAAATTAAATTACAATCGTCACGTTTGTAGCTGTTGCATAAAACGTGCTAGAGTTAAAAGTGTATTTATACTTTTGCAAGGCACTGTATATGGTCTGATATGGTCGAAAATTTGAGAGAAAATGTGGTACGCCAGCTTACATTGATTGTAATTAATAATAATAATGATAATAATAATGATAATAATAATAATTAATAGCTTTTATATAGCACTTTTCAGGACACTCAAAGACGCCTCACACGTCAATTCAATCTGAAGAGACCAAAGACACAATTAATACGATAAAATTATTAATTTATTTGGCGCATAAACCCCGGCAGTTGCAGCGATGAGATTGATTGCAGCTGAAGATGATATCAGATCCCCCGGGGTCAAGCACTGGTGGTGGCTAGAGTATGGTGTGAATGGGGCGTAGGAGCCAGAGCAGGAGCCAGAGCTGGAGCCAGAGCAAGAGCCAGAGCAGGAGCCAGCGCAGGAGCCAGCGCAGGAGCCAAGAGCAGGAGCCTAGAGCAGGAGCCAGAGCAGGAGCCAGAGCAGGAGCCAGAACTGGAGCCAGAACTGGAGCCAGAGCAGGAGCCAGAGCAGGAGCCAAGAGCAGGAGCCTAGAGCGGGAGCCGGAGCGGGAGCCGGAGGAGGTGCTGGGGAGGTGGTGGGTGTTAAGAGCTCCAGGAAGCGCCGCTTGTCAGGAAGTGACTGCCTTTTAAACTGCTGCTTTGCTGTAAGAGGGTTGGCAGGAGGCTGGCCGGGCTGTGTGATTGGCTGAGGCTTGAGGCTGCAGAGCTGTGTGATTGGAAGGGGGAATTTGCACTCGGTCTTTCAGTCTGAATATGCGCCTTCAGCTTCATTATACTTTCACCCCATACACGGTGGTGATAAACTAGCGGCGCCAGGGCACACTGACAGAAGCGAGGCAACCAGTATGTGCCATTGTTCCCTGCGACCACCACCCATTCACACTCACACACCAGACTCATTCTGGGCAATGGGCATGAAGTGTCTTGCCTAAAGACACAACAACAACTGACGGGATCTGGCTTTTGCATGCAAGTATGGCCACACACAGTGAAAATATAACAGCTTACAATGCCACAGCAGAAAGCTTCTTTGTTGTTTTTCTTGCTCACAGAAGTCCTCCGCATCACACACACGGGGCAGAAGTGTTGTCTGCCAAGAAGAGTAGAACCCTGAGGGAACAGTGAGCCACACAAATTAAAAGAGATTGCCTGAGATTATCATTATCCCAGAAAACAAGCTTTATAAGGGAACCACAGCCAGCTTCTGTGTGTTTGAGAGTCAGAATGCTGCGGGCAGTGGCTTGAGTTCTGAAAACATGAGCCAGGTTGTTACATAATCTCACATTACTGATCAATTCGGAAGCGTGAATATTTGGCATACCACGGACACACATGAAAGCAACAACACAATCTCAATGCTAACATGGCAATTTGTAACCGCAGACTGAAAACTTTGTCCGATTCCTGCGTAAGAATGAAGCGAGTCTAAATTGAATTACGTGAGGTAACAAATTTGGGCTAATTCAATCAGGGCTAATAGAAACCGCATTTAAAATCATTAGCCAAACAGGATTTAAAGCTTTGGCATCTGTACATCTCTAGTATATTGCAAAGTGTTGGATAGACGCAACACATCTTGTTTGTTATTTTGGCTTGGCGTTATTAAATCTGTCTGATATGCTTGAGACATTTCCTCGAATTGAGTTTCAGATTAAGTTTATTCTCAATTTCATATTAAAACATGTATTTGAATATGGTTTCTACTGTTGTAATTTGCGGCTATACAAGAATGTAAGTGAATTGAACCCAGTGGACACAATAGACAAAGAAGGACGGAAAAATTCAGGAAAATAATTGACGCCTTGAGATTTAAAAACAAAAACATGATAAAAGTCACTCCTCCACCAGGCATCCATACCATGATAAAAAAAATCTATAGGAGCTCATGTCACATACATACAATACAAATCTCTATCAAGCTGATTAGATGTTCTAGACACATTATGATAGCAACCAAACCACGCATATACGTTCACAGCTACGATTCCCTGCTCATGTGGCCTCTGCTCTGAATAACACGCTCCTTAAATGTGACTGAGTTCGAATCCCACCAGCGTTGTGCAACTTTCACATATCCAAGACAACATCCAAAGTTCAGGATTCTTGCGCGGGCCAAGAAAGTGCACCAGCGGTATAATTAAAAATAACACAGCCGGGTCCTTCATGAGCTCTCGTTTTAGGTGGTAGGTCACAGAATGAATGGAGGTTTGTGCAGTGCAGATGATGTAGGTCTAAAGCAGGACAACACTGAAGGCCAAAAGCTACACCGTCACTTCCTCCGCCGGGTGTGACAGTCGATGTTGCGGTGTGAGGATGTTCGGCTGTGCGGTCGAGGCCCCGTTTCCTGCGACTTCTAACCTTTTGCCGCTATTTAAGTTTTCCTGTCCAATGCTGCTTGGGTCATCACATTGTCAGCACATAAATCTCATTCCCACTAAGCACAAAAAAGTACAGGTTTTTTGAAGAAAACACAAAGGGCCTTTTGACCCAATGAGAGGTGCTGGAAATGTATAACTGCTCAAATAATGTCAGAGAATTAGACAGTTTGAACAGTTAAAATGAAATAACAACAAAAATATAGAAGCCATTGGTCTAGAGAGAGCATGATGACCACTACAAAATGTATTCCATGAAAGATGCTCACCGTCAGTACAGATTTAAGAGGATACAAAACATTTATTTTTATTTTAGTCATTTAAAATTACTGTGAAATCAATGTATATTTCAGTGCTGGGAGCTCTGGAACGGATTGACAGATTAATTCAAATATGAGCGAACCTGACAGAGTGAGTCTTAAGCCTAGCGTACATCGACAGAGAAACTGGGGACAACTAGTTGCAAGGCGGCTTTTGGCAACTGAGAGGAGATGGTGGGAGATGATCAGTTGCCGAAATCGGTCGATGTGCGCGCTCTTACAACTGGAGATGATCAGTCGGTCTCCAGTTTCAGTCAGTTGCCCGTGTTCTACTTTTCGGCAACTAGTTGTCCTCAGTTTCGGAGATATGACCCGATGTGCGCGCTCCATGCGCCGCTCCGACAACGTGTGTGTATTGCGTGTATTTCGGATTTGACCTTCAGCTTTTGAAGATAGAAATGTAGTAAATAGTCGCTATTCATGTGCCCGCTCTAAATAGCCTCAAGGAGTGAGGAAGTGTAATCTATTTTGCACACAGAAAGTCTGCTTCATCACTCCGTTTGACATAATAAATATTGATACTTTATTGAGTCCACTTGCTCAGTTTGCACACCATCAAGCAATTAAGCGTTGTGCACCTTGGTCTTGGATTCAAAGATCATTTCTTTGGTTGTCAAAGTGTTCAGGTTCTGCTTGTCACACCTCTCTCCCACAGTCAGCAGACTCACAAGTGTCATCTGAGAACTGTTTTTGGGGCCACAACTGTTCAGTCCTTGGTGTAAATTGTAAATAATTGTAAAAATTATGCTGCATGTTTTCAGTGTTGAGAGATCTCCATTCAGCCTGACTTGCTGTGATCTTCCTGCGTCAAGAAGGAACGAAACAAGTTTGATATCATTGTGTTGACATTGAAGAGCATTAGCTGTTTGACCATGACCCCCTGTCTCCCACTGGAGGGCTCCCTTCATTCCATGGCAGCGTAGCGGACCTCATAACTATACATGGTGGATTTTTGATCCCTGCGCCTCACTGATGACCTGTTTACTTTGGGAATCCCTGCAGACAACATGGCTGTGATCATCTGGGCCAGCAAATACTCCACCATAGTGTTGTGAAGGAGTCAAAAGACAAAACTCTCAAATCACTGCTCAAAAAATAATATAACGTTCCTCTGCAAAGGAACTGGGCGCTGTGTTTAAGATAGGGTATGGACTTCAGCCACATGGTAGCAGCTCAGAGTAGAACCACTGCTCTTCCACTTCAAGAGGATCCAGTGTGAGTATTTGTTTTCGGCTGTCTTCGAGACGCCTCCCTGGAGAGATTTTCCACTTTCAGATATAAGTCCCAGTAGGAGGAGACCTCGGAGTAGACCCAGGCACACAGGGGAATATCTCTCTCAGTCCTGGGAACGCCGGGGATTCCCTTGATGAGCTGAAGGAGGTGTGTGCGGAGAGGGAAGTCTGGGTGTTTCTGTTCGGACTGCTGAGTGACATGGCAACAAGTAGAGAAAATGCATTTAATGGATACTTTCTACGAACAAAAATAATGAATTCAAAGCAAACATTAACTATGAATAATGTGCAAATGTCAATATTGATCCATACCAAAAAATAGTTTATTGAAAAACACCAAATCATTACAAGACTGTCAACATAGCAGAAGAACCAGGTCGAGGCAATTGTGGAAGCTATTCACGACTGCTGTCCCTGCGTTATATAAAATTACATACTCAAAAAAAATAACAAAATAATAACTTGCCAATTTCAGTGAGTTTATCCGTCTCTGGCTGCAGCTCAGTCAACTCATAAATCAGCGCTTTGTACCTTACAGCAAAACCCCCATAAGCCACCAGGCCTTCTGCATATTATTTCCCTGGAAAGTTTTCATACCACTTCATCACAAAAACATGAAAGCTCTCCGTCTTTGGAAAGTCTTGCAAGTAAAAATTAAAAAAGTCAGTGTTATTTTCACGCGTATGCCTTCATAACCTGTTCTTTTCTCATGTAAGCGTCAAAGTGCCGGGCAGTGACCTCAGCTGTCCGTGCTGCTCTCTGGCCTGATGCCCAGTCCAGAGTTTTTCTTCTGTTGGTCATTTGCATCTGCGCTGAGGAGTGAAAGGGATGATTCAGTGGCCGCTGTCTGTACTTTGTGTGTGTGTGTGTGTGTGTGTGTGTGTGTGTGTGTGCGTGTGTGTATTTTAGCTGACGGAGACTTCTTCCTGAGCTGCCCTGCCTAACTCTGTCTTATCTACCAGAGGAATGTGTCTTGTCTAAACACTGATCGAGATTCAAGGACAAACTCGATAACCTCTAAATATTCACTTTTATAATGTACAGACATGGCCTTTTGCTTTCATTATTTTGCATTGTTAAAGAAAATATATATTTTTTGGTCAATACCAATGAGAATGTGACTATTTAGTCTGCATACAGAGATGAGCGTTGGTAAAAACTTGAAAAGTTGCCATAACAAATGTATGGGTACTATTGTTTGAAAGGACAGACCATTTCTCTGAGGGTGATGTCATATTGTATTGTATTGTATTGTATTGTATTGTATTGTATTTAGGGATGCACCGATTTGCTTTCGGATTCGACCGAATACTAGATTTTTTGTCAGGGTTCGGTTTCTGCCGAACCTCAGAATTTTTCCCCACCGAACCAAACCCTACGCTTATTTTACACTATGCGCGCTACGCTGGTCAACGTCATGACGCCGCCGTTGATTATAGGAAGGTGTTTACGTAGGTGGCCCGTTCGAAGGCAGTAGCTCAGGCTGTGTGAGTGAGAAAGTGAAAATGGAATTCGTGAGCAGAAAAAGTGTTGTTTGGCAGTACTTTAAGAAGGTGATTCTAGTCAAGCTACATGTTAAATTTGCAATGTCGATTTGTCTCGTGGTGGTTTTTTTACAGTTGAAATAAAATAAAATAAAAATTACACCGCTGTGGATGTTATTTACTTGATAAATGTGTTTACTGTGTTATTGGACTGAGGATGGAGTAGGATTCGGTATTCGGTTTCTGATTCGGCAGAATCTTAACCAGTGGATTCGGTATTCGGCCGAACCCTAATTGGCCGAACCCTAATTGGCATCCCTAATTGTATTGTATTGTAATGACATCATACTATTGCAGGACTGAGACATTAGCTTTGTGACAGAAGGAGTTACATGTTTGTGCAAGAATGTTTTGATACTATTACTATGGATGAATATAAAAAAAACAACACATACTTTTGGTAAGGGAACAATGTTGTAACATGGTTTTACAGAAGAAAGCAGATTCTGCATAAAAGGTCCCTTTTACTGTATGCAGAAAAGGGACTTATTTGTTGATTCTTCCATTCATAATCATCATTATATGGCAATACATTATTAGATACTACTTAAAGATGACCTATTATTATTCAATCGTCATCTTTAACCCTTGTATTATGTTGAAAAAAAATGACATTGTTTATGTTGCGGGTCATTTTGACCTGTACTGTGTAAATGTATTCAAAACAGTCAAGAAAACATGTTAAACCAACAACAACTTTATTTTAGGTTATATAAATATTTAGAAAAGTGACATACAATACATTTTTAATTCCAACACTATATTTAAGAAAGATTTAGTCTAATCTTCTTGTCCTCCTCTCGGGTCAAAATGACAATTCTTCCTTCCTTCTTTCCTCCTGCCATGCTTTCTCCTTCTGTCTTCTCATCCTGTTTTCCTTCTCTCTGTTCATCGTCCTCTATTCCCTTCTTTTCTCTTCCTTCCTTCCGTTCTCCGTTCTTTCCTTCCTACCTTACTTTATTCCTCCCATCCTCCTTCCTTGACCAAAGATTCGTCCTCTGAATCGTCCTTATCGTAGGAAAATTGACAATCTGGATCAGCAATAACATTGTCCTCTGTCTCTGAAAAATCCTCTGTTTCTGAAATCTCTTCCTCCACATCATTATCCCAGTTAAAAATCTGTGAAAAAGCCTCCTCAGATGTCATCATCCTTCTGGAGCTCATTTTTGGTGAGTTTGTCTAAAGCCTAGCGTACATGGACAGAGTAACTGGAGACTCGTTGAAGGCGGCTTTTGGCGACTGAGAGTAGATGGTGGGAGATGATCAGTTGAAATTGGTCGATGTGAGCGCTCTTACAACTGGAGATAAACAGTCGATCTCCAGTTTCAGTCAGTTGCCCGTGTTCTACTTTTCGGCAACTAGTTGTCCTCAGATCCGGAGACATCACCTGATGTGCTCCAACAACATGTGTGTATTGCATGTATTGCGCGCTCTCTACAGTTTATGTCAGAAAACACACTGTAGTTGACAGCCAGTTGCTGTTGATGTACGCGCTGTTATTCCCGAGACTGGCCAACTAGTAGGAGTTGCCCGTTTTCGCCACATTGTCGCTGTGTGCGGGGCAGCAACTCAAAGGCGACGGATATAATCAGTTGCCAGTACGATGTACACTAGGCAAAAGAGATGACATGAGAACAGTGACAAGGACAAGTGTGAGAAAGCTCCCTCTCTTCACACACCTGGCTCTGGCTCTCAGAGGCAATCAAAATACAATGTCAAAGAGACATGTTTTTTTGGATCAGAACAACTATTTACCCACATTAAAGCGTCTGGGTCAAAATGATCCGCAACATCATCTTTGTATACAAACTCTGCACAGACATTCCACTACACATCAAAGTGTCCAGATTTTACACACCAGTTCATGACCCTAGATGAGGAAAAGTCACCAAATTTCAGCAAGAAAAATAAAGGATAACCAGTACTTTGATCAACACAAAAACTGAAATGGGTCAAATTGACCCTTAACATAATACAAGGGTTAAGAGCTTTATTGTTGTTTTTCCTTCTCATTCACTCAAAGAGGATTTTCAATAACATTTGAGTTATTTTGTATTTCTCTGAATCAAGCACCATTGCATCTAGATTTTACACTCTTCTTTGTTTGATTTTTTCCCCCCAAAAAAATTTCAGTTTTTAACCAGATGTAATAAAAGTAAGTAATTTCTGCATTTTTTTAACCTTCACTCACTTTTACTAAATTCTATAACAGTTTGTCGCTAAATGCTAAAGACGAAATGTTAACTGCTGACGGTAAACGGTGTGTTGCTATAGTAACCAGCACTCTCTCCAACTACTCTTAAAGACAATGACAAAAATAAACTACAAAAAACTATTAGAGAAACAGAAAAAGTACATACCACAAAGTAATTACACTTCTAAATCTTAAAGTTCTTGCGTTTACAGCATGTTTTCATTCCATAGCTTTTAGAGTCAGAAATATCCCACCTCCTGCCTCCAGTGTAATTTTAAAACTCAAAAGGGGTCCGTACAGTACAGTAAGGACGTATACTGCACACGAGACGCCACAGGTGCAGGAGTCTAAACATGAGAAGTTTTGTGCCGAGGACACGCTGTACACTGAATCTGAGCTCCGTCCCCACAGGAGCTTTTTATCATCTCGACCTCATTCTGCACGGCTCATGTCCGCAGCAGAGAACGACTACACACATTTATCTATCTGTAAGCCATTTTTGTTTTTTTTTTATACATGAGTTTTTGCCTGTAGAATTCAAATAGAAAGTCATAATTAAAAAATCATCACAAGCAACAGTTATAGTGCAAAGAAAAGATTACATAATAATAATAATAATAATAATAATAATAATAATAATAATAATAATAATAATAGTGATGATGATATAAGAAGAGTATAACAGATATTGTTTTATTGTGGTAGTC